AGCCTGACAGCCGCCCCGGCCTCCCCCAGGCCCGCTCTCCGCGCGGGTTGGAGCGCCGAACCGAGGCCGGCGGCCGATTGGCTGCCAAGCCTGTTGGTGTGGCCGCACTTTCCGCCTCTGCGCCCTACGCTACTTCCTATTGGCCAGGAGGAGTGGAGCCGGCAGCGGATTTGTCAAAACTCTTAATAGCAACTGCGGTTCGCAGCCCCGCCCCCGCGCTCCTCAGTATAGATGTGGCTCCCGAGCGGAGGGTGGGCGACTCGCGGAGAGGTGCGGGATCCCGGCTCCCTCCCTGCCAGAGGCTGGCTGCGCGCGGGCGCCGCGGGGCGGTGCCTCGGCCGGCGGGAGGTGCTACGGAGCCAGAAGCCGCCCTGCGAGTTTTCCGCGCTCGCGGGCTGCGTATCTGGGACCCAGGGCGCCTCAACTTCCCCGGCTCCCCGTGAAATGCACAGAACTCCGACGCCAAGGAGCTCTGGGGGTGCGGTGCAATTACTCACCTAAGGTGCTTCCCCCAACCGCCGTTCAGTCTCACCGCCTGTCTTCCATGGTATCCGGGGACGCGGGACGAAGCGGGACCCTTCTGCGTCCTCCCAGAGCCAAAGCACATCGAAACTCGGTGATCCCGCCATAGCCAACGCCGGTTCCTAGAGCGGCCGCGGGCGTCTTCGTTTCCTCTAGCCAGCCACCTCGCTTGTAGCCAACCATAGAGTGGCGGAAGTGGTCCGTCCCTTTCCTCTCCCGGGCCTACATCTAGCCAGAAGCTTCTAGGGACGTCGGCGCGGAGCATTGTGGGCGTGGGCGGGCGGTTCCGAAGCCGAGAAGAGGCGAGTTGCGGGCTCCTGAAGCGCTTCCAAGATGATGGTGAGTGGCTCCCCGCGCATCCGCTGCCATCCGCGGCCGTGGGGCCCAGACCCGCCCTCCGGGGAGTCGGCAGCGCCCGTTCCGGCCCCCCTGCCCGTGGACGGCCGCGGCCCGTAGCTGGAGCGGTTGGCGAGAGCCGATGGGGCTCGCGACTCTACTGGGCCCGGGGTCTACGGGTCTCACGGTGATTCAGGCCGTGAGCCCCCGAAAACTTGGGTTTTCGGAACCGAGTGCGGATTCAGACTGCTTCGCCGCCCTGGGAGTTGCAGACATAAAGACATGAGCTAGAGCGCTGAGAGGCGGCGTGAGGATCTCTGGGTTGGGCCGAGTGACGCCCAGCATGGCACTGTGGTCACTTGCGTTCCCACATGCGGGAAAACAGAATCCTTCATTTCTGCTGGAACCCGTTCGTTCGCGCAGTCCTTCAGCAGGTGCACTCTTAATGTCTCCTGAATGTACAGGCCCAGCTTCGTGCTGGGAAGGGGCGGCAGTTGAGGAGCACAGCATCAGAGATGGGTAGACGTGAGTGCCTTAGGCAGGAGAATCTCTTAAAGGTCTGTAGCTGTTCTTCATCACGACCTGTTCTCTTACAGAGCGGCAGATAACTTCCTTGTGTGTGAGACACCTAATTGTTGATGAACAACGTCAATTTCAGAATCCTGTGTACTTGGCATCAGTTCCACGCGTTAATTTTTGGTTTTCAGTGTCAGCCCTTCTGCCTTTTGCAGCTTCTTCCAGTCCCCAGAGTCTGATAACCTGAATAGTCCTTCTCCCTGCTACCAAATGCTTTGTGGTTGCAGCTCCTACTCAGTAGAAGGACCCTTGTTCTCTGACCACCCCCCTCAACCCCCAACACTGTTCTTTTCAGAGTCTTTTAAGCATTACTATTTCTTGAACTTGGTTTGGTTGGCAAGGACCAGAGCTGAGGAGTAAAACTCTTAATGTTCCTCAGTAAAACACACGTCGGGGCTGCAAATGTGACCTAACGTACATCATTTTCATAGTGTGTCCAGGGCCCTGAGATCCATGCTCATCCAGTCCTCAGAGAAATAAACCTTTTGTCTAAAGGCCTCAAACCACTACATTTGGGTTTTACCTGAATTGATTATTTTTGCCCTGTCCAATAGACTTGTTTGCCTGCTGGGCAAATGAGAGTTCACCAACTGATCAATGCTGTCAACCAACTGATCTCAGGTAGTCTAGAAGACTTCTGTTCAAAGGAGAGTTAAAAGGTCCCCTGAAATCCTGAACTTTGATACATCTGTTTTCTTTTTGGCATTAAATTGTATGTTTTCATATACATATAGCACTGGTCTTGTTTTGTAGAACATCAAGTCAATGGCTTTGTTTTTACTTTTTCGGGTACTGGGGATTGAACCCAAGGCCTCATTTGATTGTTCTACCACTTAGCTAAAGCCCAAGGCTTTCCCCCCAAATTTTACGTATTTATGTATTTTTTTTTTTAGGTATGAGTGCTCTGTCCGTGTATATCTGCAAGTCAAAAGAGGGCATTGGATCCCATTGTAGATGGTTGTGAGCCACCATGTGGTTGCTGGGTATTGAACTCAGGACCTCTGGAAGAATAGCCAGTGCTCTTAACCACTGAGCCATTTCTTAAGCCCTCAAGATTTATTTAAACAGCAGGCTCTTTTGTAGCTCAAGGCTGGTCTGGAAGTCACTGTGTAGCCCACTCTGGTGATTAGTTTTGTCAGCTGACACAACCTAGAAACACCTGGGAAGAAAGTCTCTGAGGGATTGTCTAGATCAGGTTGGTCTGTGGGGAATTAATTGTCTGGGTTGCTTTCATTGATAGGGAAATACCCAGCCCACTATGAGTGACACCATTCCCTGAGCTTGGGTCCTGGACTCTATAAAAGAAGAAAGCTAGTTGAGCACCAGCAATTGAGCAGCGTGCTATACATTCATTTTTCTCTGTTCTTGACCAGCTGCTTCAGGTTCCACGACACCACACTCTCACCCCTCATCAAGTAGCAGACTATAACCTGGATTTGTAAGCTAAAATAATTCCCCCCACCTCTTTTTGGAAGCAATTTTTTTGGGTGTATCCCTGACTGTCCTTCAGTTCTTCCTCTTATATAGAACCAGTCTTAATGGATTGCTGCGTATTGGTTTGTGTGTGTGTGTGTTCAAGACGGTTTTTGTGTGTAACTTTGGAGCCTATCCTGGAACTTCTGTTTACCAGGCTGGCCTCAAACTCACAGAAATCCATCTGCCTCAGCCTCCTGAGTGCTGGGATTAAAGGTGCACATCGCCTGGCTGATGCATATTCTTTAAAGTATTTCAAATTTTTTGGTGGGTTGTGTTTGATTTTTAGATTTGTGTATGGGGGGGTTATTCCATTCATTTGGACATGTGTATACATCCATGTAGGTACCTCTAGAGGCCAGAAAAGGGCATTGGATTTGGTCTTGGAGCTGGAATTAGAGATGGTTGTGATATTGATAATCAAACTGTCTGTCTTCAAGGACAATAGAGAGACTTCTTAACTGCTGAGCCATCTCTCCAGTCTCAAATCTATTTTTCCATTCTACTCTTTTTTTGTTTGTTTGTTTTGGTTTTCGTTTTTCGAGACAGGGTTTCTTATAACTTTGGAACCTATCTTGGGACTCATTCTGTAGACCCAGGCTGGCTTCGAATTCACAGAGATACTCCTGCTTCAGTCTCCTGAATGCTGGAATTAAAGGCATGTGCCACCATGGCCTGGCTACATTTCATTCTTGATATCTTTTCTTAGACCAGTACAACTTCATTTACTATTTCTTCCATTTGAAAGTATTTGCCTACAACTGGTTGTTTTACTTTGAACCAGGCACTTTAATTCCAGCACAAAGAAGCCCCCTGAGTTTGAGACCAGTCTGGTCTACAGAGTGAAGTCCAGGACAGTCAGGACTACACAGTGAAAGCCTGACTTGGGGGTGAGGTGGGGAGAAGAAAAAAAATTGGTCTTCATTGGCTGTCTTGTGGCTTCTGTGACTGGTGAATACAGTTGTGAGACCAGCACCCTGATACCAGTCTTCATTCGCTAAAGATAGTGGCTCTCTAACCAATTAGGATATAGTATGTGGTACTGAGTGCATGCATCTCCATCTCTATCTCATTGGACTGCTAATATCTTGCTTGAACAATTTTCTTTTTAATTTTATTTCAATTGTCTAAAAGTTTTGCCTACATGCAAGTGTGTGTATCCCTTGTGTGCCTCGTGCCTATGAAGTCTAGAGGGGTTGCAGGTAGTCGTGAGTCATTACCACATGTAATGTGGGTGCTGGAAATCAAACCCAGTCTTCTAGAAGAGCACCTGTTGCTTTTAATTGCTGAGCCATCTCCCCAGCTCCAAGCAGTTTTGTGGGTTTTTTGTTGTTGTTGTTGTTGTTGTTTCTGACAGCTATGCTTGATGGATTCCATGTTCCTGTCAGTCCTATCGGGCCGAAACCATACTTTATTTAATAAACTTGTCTGAGATCTGATAAATGTACAGCATTTACCAGCCTACTTATTTACAGGCTTTTTGTTTTGTACATGTGCACTATAGTGTTTTCAAGCTTTAGTGTTCATGTAAATCCACTTGGGCCCTTTCTGAAAGTCAGATCCTGTTTCAGTGGGTCTTGGATGTAGCCATACACGTTTCTGCCCAACTCTCAGGTGGTGGTTATGCTTGACATTGACCTGTAACATATGTATCTGTGTTGCCACCAGTAACTGCCCTCTGCTGACC